TCCAAACCAGAAATCATTTCAGTAAATACGGGAAATTTAGTCTCTAAATCCTCATGACAAACTTCAGTTTAATCCAAACAGCGTTTTCTAACAGACCAGTTCTGCCAGCTCTCAGTACAGGTATATAACTTGGAGAAAATTTAATTATTTCTCTTCCGTGGACTAGCTGTGTCTCTTGGAGCCGTTGGCATATGTACCTATTGTCATTCTTAGAACCGCCGATGTCGAATCAGAGCTCGACGGAGCCCCTGTCAGGTAGGGCGAACTCAAAGAGTGCGTTGGTTTTACCCCAGACCCGGGCCAGAGAGTCCTAGAGCAGCAGGGACCTCCATGCGGCTCAGACTAAACATCCTCCAGCATTTTACAGCATGGTCTGGGACTCCATGCTCTGAAGTGTCCCTAGCCTCTGCCAGAAGCTGGGAATGGGCGACGGGGGATGGATCACTTGGTGATTCCCTGTTCTGTTCATTCCCTCTGGGGCACCTGGCACTGGCCACTGTCGGCAGACAGGACACTGGGCTAGATGGGCCTTTGCTCTGACCCAGTCTGGCCGTTCTTATGGACTCGTCTTGACAAAGTCATGGATTCTGAGGCCAGAAGGGACCACTTGATCCCCTAGTCTGACTTCCTGCAAAACCCTGACCAGAGATCTGCCCAAAACAATCGCTAGAGCAGATCCCTGTAAAGAGGAGGCAGGATCAGTTGCCAGGGAATGTGAAGGCCTCATTCTGGGACAGAAGCCCTGATCTCAACATCCTCAGTGTAGACAAACCAGCCTTACTCTAGCATCAGTTCTGCCCTTAGGCTTGCAGTGGGAAGAAAGCTACAGGCCCCCAAGGTGCTGGCATGTTACCACTGTGTGTCTGGCTGTGCTCAGAGCAGCGCTGGATGGCACAGCTGAAAAGGGCACCAGATTGTCTAGACCAGTCCTCTCCCATCATTGCTGGCATCAGTAGAGCTGCCCTGGTGCTGGAGTACCAGGGGGAGAATCTGAAAAAAGCTGGAGCCTAGAGCCAGCGTGTGAGGTTCTCTCGGTCTCCTGGCCTGACCTGTGCAAGTTTCTCTCTCTCACCAACAGAAGTTGGTCCAATAAAAGATATTCCCTCCCCCGCTTTGTCTCAGATTTTTCTCAGCAGCCAGAGGAATGTGTTTTCTCATGGCCCAAACATCCCTGATAGACAGGAGCTCACATGATGGAATTCAGGGGTCCTTGGGTTCCAGAGGCCAGGCTGGAAGATTTAGGAGCAGGAGAGTCTTGGAGGTCTGGTGTGGAAGTTTGTGAAGGGGCAGGAGGCTGTACATGGGCTCCAGACACATGTGCATGAACTACTGATGTGAAATTCCCCACATGGGACCTTGACTCCATTTTAGGGGTCTGTGTTTTGCCTATTCTCAGTTGCATCTTGCTATTGTCCTTCCCCATGGGGATCGACTTTGAACTGTAACTGGGAGCTTCAGCTACGGCACTGTCATGTGCCTGGCTAACTATCAGCACCAGCCTGACTCTGCTTATAAGCAAATTTTAATTTTTTTTTAACATAATGTGCATATTTGGCCTAAATGAGAGAAAAGAAATTCCCTGTGGTCTTTGCCCCTTCCCCATTCTAGACCACAGAAAAGTCCTATAGCTTGAGAGGAGACTAGACCCAGCCCTGGAGTATGGTGAGAGGGGAACACCCCTGTACGAGCCCCAGGTCGTGCAGCTGCTGGAGAGTTTCACTCTTTGACCCTGGACGCCAGAGGTCCGCTGTTGTTATGTTGGGGTCTAATAGTGCAAAGTTCATTAATTGTGTTTCCTTGAGGCTTAGCTGCTGTTTTCTTCTCCCGAGCATCTGGGAATGTTCCCCTCAGGGCCTGTGCTTTCACCACTAGACAACGCTTCCTCTCAAAGCCTAAATGAATGCTCTCATGCAGGCCACTGCTAGCCACCCCCCAGGTGGCTGGGTCCAAGTACCAACCTGCTGGGCCCATACATTCTGGAGCATCCCTGGGTCCCAGTAGGCTGCAGCCCTGTTTCTTCCCTTGGCCTCCATGGCAAGCTGCCTGGGCATGAGTTCTGTCAGAAATAGCCCCCAGCTGCCCTAGGCCCTCACACCAGGGCTGACCCCCCCAGCCTCCCTCGCAGTTCAAGCGCACCCTTTCCCAGAGCTCCCGAGGGGTGGGCGCTAGGTTTACAATTCTCTCCAGGGACCCGGGCGAGTGAAAGGCAAAGACATGGGCATAGGAGGGGGTTTCTAAACATAACTGCCCTTTGCTAAGACAGTGTGAGAAATACACAGATTTAGGCAAAATGATAAAACCCTACATGTATGTCTCTGCATCAGTCTCCTCACCACGTTGGAGCATTCTGTGGGCTAAGGCAGAGTCCCCCAAGGAGGCCAGGATAAGGCTCAGGATCCTCCTCCAGGACACGGACTCTCTCAAATGGCTGGTGAGAGACTCTCTTTGACAAGCTCCAGCCCCCTTTGTCAGGTGATCAAAGTCCCTCAGTTATTGCTCCTCTGGAGTTCAGAGCAGCAGCACCGGTGAGAATTACAGTCTTAGTGTAGCGACAAGGTGTAGAAGTGGTGGTGAAATACAGAAACGTCAACAGCAGTCAGAACTTATTTCTTTAGAGCTGCCATGAAAATACATTTCCCCTGAGACTGCAGCAGAAGATCTCTGGGGCACTCTCATGTAATACCTAAGCACCTCCCAATTAGTGTATTTAGCCTCCCAAAAGGCCCTGGGGCAGGGCAGCACAGTTATCCCCCTTGAATGGAGAGACCAGACAACTTGTCCAGGGACACACCTGGCAGAACAGGGCCTGGAACCCAGGTCTCCCCAGTGCAAAGTGAGCACCTTACGCTGTTGGCTATCCTGCCGCTCAGCAGCTGCTGCCTTTGGCCACTTTGTGGGTGGCAGAAGTGATGTGGGCCCAGCTTTGAGAGGTGCTTTCCTGAGCTAGAGCTGGGCTACCTGGGTTCTAGCACCGGGGCGTTTGCACAAGACCCCTGACTGGCTGAGCCGCCCCCATCCTGGGCTTAGCAGAGGAAGCCATTTTGGGTAACTTCCTCTGGCAGGGCTGGGAGGAGAGAAGGGTCCAGAGGAAGGAAGGGGGCCTGGTTCCCACCTCCAGTGTCGAGTGGGCTGGTCCTGTCCCCACAGAAAACAACACCAGGTAGGCGACCAGGTGTTTTCTATCTAGCCTGGCTGCTGTGTAAGTGTTTGCAAGGGGCAGGGCTGAGTGGGCTTGCGGTGGGGAAGGGGATTATGTGCGGCTGACGGGCTTTGGGTGTCGCCCGGGGCTGACGCTTGCTCAGAGATGCTCATGCTTGGCTCGTGGGGCGGGTCCCATGCAGCTATTTGTGAGTGGAGGCTGTTTCCCTGTATGGGCAGTGGCTTGGCCTAGCCTCCAGGTTACACACCCAGGGGCCCGGGCGGGTGTGTGGCTAGCCGGTTGCACGACATGTTTTTAGTGTGGGGCCGGCACCTCCCAGCTCAAACACAGAGGGACTGTTACCCCAGGCTGCCTTCTCACCCTCAATTTTCCTTTCACCGTCACTAAAGCCTGAGGACCCTCTTCCCTTCCAGCTCACTGATGCCAAGAGCCTTTGTCATAAAAGCCCTCTGCCCTGCTACTGCCCTGCCCTGGGCAGTTCTGCACAGAAATGCTGCCCCTGAAGGGACACGGGCATCTCTTCCCTTTCCTCACAAACAACAGGCTGCAAAGCAAAGATCTCCCCACAGCTCTGTCACACCCACAAAGGGAGCCACAGATCTGCAGACACACCTCTACCACGCAGAGCCAGCTACTGCCGTCGCCATCCAGTTCAGCTACCCCGAGACTGCCCCCCTCGCTCTACCGGGAGCGCGTGCAGATAATAAACGCTCCGCTTGCTCTCCTCGCTCGGCTCGCAGCCGACAACCCCCGGGCCCTGCTCCATGCCAAACATGCACACTTTGGCACTGACAGGACGCGGGCTGGGTCCGGAGCAGGGCCGGCTCCAGGCACCAGCGTTCCAAGCAGGTGCTTGGGGCGGCGGTTAGAAAGGGGCGGCAGAGTTTCCACGGTGGTGGCAATTCGGCAGCAGCTTCTTCCTTTTGCCGTCCACGATGGCAGTTTTTTTCACTGCTTGGGGTGGCAAAGCTGTAGAGCCGGCCCTAGCCCGGAAGATGCACGGGGCTGCTCTGTCCTTTGCTCTCACCCATTGCAGAACGTGGATTTTCCTATCACAATCACAGCTCTGGCACACGCCTCAAAGTAACCCCCACGTCTCCTCCTCTCAGACACCTCTACCAAGCAGGCCCAGCTCGTGCCTCCACTGTTTAGTGTCCGCACACCTAACCCCCGACTGCACCTGGCGTGTACGCCAGCAATCCTCATTGGCTGCTGCCAGCTCCCAAGGAAGAGAGGAAACTGTGTTAGCAACCTTCCCATCCCCCTCCCCTTTTGTCCTTCAATAATGTTTGATGGACTCCTGGGTGGGGGGCTGAATGTGTGTAGGAGGGGAGGCGCTTGTATATTTCAGCACCTGTGGGGTGGGCAGAATAAAGGCATGTGTGTTCCTGGGACGTGTTGGGGCATAGCTGAAGCGGGGCAGAGTTAAGGTTGCGTGGGCAACCTTAACTCTGCACTTCCTGGTTTTCCAAAGTTTGAGATTTGCTCAATTCAGCATTCTGCAAGGGGATGACTGACCACCAAGCGACAGTGACTCTCCATCAATGTAGTTTTTTGCCATTGAATGTCTTGGCTTTGCAGCTATAGAAACAGGGAGAGAGCTATTTAGAGGGGAATCAGAGAGTGGCTTGTTTGGACTCCTGCATGAATTGATGCAAAAAAAAAAAATCCACTGACCCAGCATTTTACTGGGGGCATTAATTCACCTAGGGAGGACAGAAAATGCAATTTCATATTGATTTAGTGGAAAAACACCCCTACTCCCAGCCGGCTGTAAGACGGACAGAGAGATTATTGGGAGCCCCTGAGACGCATCAGGCTGAGAAGGCAGCCAGTCTGATTTTGAAAGTGAAAAATAAACTCTTTATTCTGTGCTTACAGAGTGAACTCATGTCAGTGTTACGTCTGGTCTTCGGCACGCAGTGTTTGTCGAGACATTAGTGGAAAGGGTTAGAAAAGCGCATACACTCCCCTGTCTGTACACAAGAGGGTATATATAATATGCATAGAAAACAAACACAGTGTTGCTCACATTATACAATCCTTTTTCCACCTCGTTGGTTTCAAAAGCACTTTCCCGGCATTGATAACTAGTACAAAATAATGCTGACCCTGTGCAATCCTGTTAGAAAAGTGTCTGTCTTCCTGCGGGTTAGTTTATAAATTCTGCTCAGCTTCCCAGTGGCGTATGTAAAGCTGGGGGAAAGGAGAGGGTTCTCGGTGGTGTCTAGTTCTAGAAGAAGTGGTGGTTTTGGAACTGCAAACTTTTCAGACCTGTTAAAATGCCTCCTGATTTGCATAGATGTGAGGTAGGGCTGCTAGCAATGCCCTGGGACTGGGAGGGGTTAACTCTTCCCACACCCCATTACAAATGTAAGCGGCCACAGCGAGAATCATCAGATGATGTTCCCCACATCACGAGGCGAGGCAATTTTTAGTAACTGCTTCACTGCTGAGTGATGTCGGGGACATGTCCCATGGCGGTGCGCCGCCAGGACGGTGAGATGTGCCAGGTGCACCCAGCCATTCCCGAGGGGACTGCTGCCAAGGTCCAGGCCCCCTGCCACAGCCCCAGCAGCGAGCTGATCCCACAGCAATGAGATGCTCCTTTTGCAATAACCCCCTGCCCACCGAAGTGCCTTTTCTTCTGCTGATGTTGGAGGGATTCCTTAGGGGTTTGGGGGAAGGGATTTTTGGGGGGTTGTGGGGAGGGAACTGAGGGTTTAGCATGTTGGGCTGGGTGGAGTGGCGAGGTTAACGTATACAGGGCCTGATACGTGGGCCTCGGCGGGAACTCTGGACCAGGCCTCTGGAACGTCCTTAGTTCTTGAGAAGAGGCTCATCTTGGAGTCAGCAGGGCCAGGTGAGCACGGGTCAGGCAGCTTCACTTGGGCAGCGGGGCGACAATCACGTTGCGATAGCCCTTCACTCCCTTCAGCTTGTCGCTCTCGAAATTCACCACAAGCTTGTGCAGGCCGGACTGCTGGGGGGCCAAGTCCACCCTGACCTTGGCCTCCTGCCCCGGCTCAATGGGGCTGGCGCTGCGGGGGAGAGGTAAAATCAGCAAACCCCAGGACCACCTGCCAGCGTAACTCGGTCCCCACTGCCTGCAGTCCTGCAGGGGGTCACTACCAAGTACCCTCGCCAGACGCATGCATGGCCCTGTCGGGAGCCCCGGGGACACTAGACAGGCTTCTCCCTTTGGTCCTCATAGGCAGCACCAGCCTGAAGGGGAGATCCTTGGGGAGCAGCAAAACAAACTGTTTGGGGGGCGGGAGGGAGCTTTCCCTTTAATAACTGAGATGAAACTGAGTGTCCACAGTGAACTGCAGCAAATCGACTCTCAGGACGCTTACAGCCAGATGCCCCCGGACCGTTCCATACGGCTACTTCTGCTGGGCCTGTCCTCCTCCGCTATCCCCCCACAGCAACTCCTGCTGGGGGCAGCTGGTCTGGGGGTGCTCTGAGCTTCCCCCGCCAGCCCTCCACCAGTCCCTTCAGTGGCTTTCACTGGGACAGGAGTAGCTGCAATCTCTCTCAGAGTTCGCGTCCCCACTTCATTCCCCACGGCAGCCCCCTGGCTGAGGTGGGACTGGGGTAGTGGCAAGCACCTTCCCTGTGCAAAGTTCTCGCCGAGTCTCAAAAGTCAAACTTGGCCCCTGCCCCCCCCCAGCAGCCCAACCCCGCAGTGGGAGTAGAAAACACCTACAGCTCCTGGGTCTTCTGTCCTTCGGTCAGGCCAGCCCCCTCCAGGGTGAACACGCAGCCGCTCAGAGGGGTTGAGAGGGGGTTAGTCAGGGTGAGATCTGCCACCAGCTTCCGCTTCTGCATTGGTTCCCCTAAAATCTGTTTTTAAAAGAAATCAGTTGGGTCCTCAGTGAAGTCCCTTTTGCCATTAGAGAGAGAGAGAGAGAGAGAGGGTGTGTGGGTGTGTGTACACACATACGCTCCCTTCCATTGCTCTGGTTACTGTTGACTGAGTGTGTAACGTTCCCGACCCCTCCCCGTCCCTGCCCGGCGTGAAGCTGTTATGTTGCGTTGGTCATGTCAGGCAGGTGTCTGCATTAGTTACTCCATTGATTCTAGTGAAACAAACCCCGTTCCTGGCCCCCGGCCTGGCCACATGGCTTGGCTTGGCTCTGTGCTAAGTCTCTGGCTGTGTGGGAGCCACCAAGAGGTGTGGCAATGCACCCTGCCTGTCTGACAGCAGCTATAAACTACCTGCTGCAAACCCCTCACAGCACTGCCCACACCAACCTGCTCCCCTTTACGAACGGAAACCCTCCTGCCTTCCGCCCTCAGCTACGGTCTCTCCTCTCTGCCCTCACAGCTGGCACCTGACCTCATCCCACACCCCTGGGCCATACCCTGAATTGCTCAGCAATGCTGCAGCATCCCCTCTGCAGGCTCAAGCCCTGCAGTGGCCCCTTGCATTGTTTGTGAGATGCTCAGTCAATAGCCCCTCAGAGGGTCCTGTGGGAGAGCTGGAGGCTGCCAGGTTTCCCCCTCCTTTCTAGTGCTGAGTGAGGTGAAACGGGAGGCACTGGGCGCGGGGGGATGTGGGAAGTGGCTGGCAGTTTGGTCTCAGGGTTGGGGCCCCGTGCGGTGTTGATGCTTTTCAGATCTGACATGGCACCACACTCGAACTCCCGTGTGCCCTGGGACACAGGTGGCAAGGCAGACTGCCAGAGGCATGCTCTCTCCCAGTGCAGTAGCAGAGCAAGGCTGGTTTCCGTGTCTGATTGCAGGGATGTCAGTTCAATACCATGCATTGGGGGAGGAGGGTTTGCTGCAAGCTGCATCACTTCCATGATTGCTGCCTGGCTAGCACAAAGGATACTGGGCTGAGAATGTGTCCCAGTCCCCTCCGCATCTGCGGAGCTGAGCAGGGACCATACATGTGCTCAGCAGTGACAGGATGGGGATGTGCTGAAGCCCTTACCCTAATCTTAATATCCGGGTTCTTTATGTAGATGTCTCGGACCCCAAGGATGATCTCTCCGGTCTGGTATTCAATCAGGAGGGCCATCAGCTTGATCATGTTGTCTTGTGTCAGGCAGCTGCCGTACTTCTCATACAGAATACGCAGGGGCACGGTCTTTTCTGGAGAGAAAGGTGAAAAAGATCCAGGTTAGCTGTCCCCCGAAAGCTCAACTCCCTCTGGCTTCCTGATGCCCAAGGATCACTGAGCCAGGGGCTGGGCCATCACCTAGTCTGGGGCCAGCTGTCCCCCTGCAGCTGTTACAGTCAGCAGGCAGGAATGGAAATGACAGAGAAAAGGGGGTGATTTCAGGTCTGGCACAAGCAGGTGCCACAAACGCTGACGGCAGGGGGAGGAGCCGCCCCCTACCCTGGCTCTGAGCGTGGTGCAATGTCTGGTTTTCCAGGGCTGGGATTGTCCCCAGAATCAAGCTAGCATGACAGTGGCAAAGTCTGGTGGCAATACCTAGGCAGGAAGGCTGACCGGAGCTGCCAGGGTCTCTTTTCGACTGGGCATTTTGGTTGAAAACCAGACTCCTGGCAACCCTAGAGGGGGACTCAGCACCCCCAAAAAATGAGGCCATAAGCGACTCTCCAGAGGAGTGCTAACTGGTCATGACACCTCCGCAGTCACTCTGTACAGGGACGTTGTTATTATTTATTAGTGTTATCGTAGCACCGAGGAGCCCCCATCATGGGCCAGGACCCCACTGTGCCAGGGGCTGTTTGGACACAGGACAAAAGGAGGGACCCTGCCCTAGAGAGCCGACCATCTCAGTGGAAGACAAGAGGAGCCAGATGGCTACAGATGAACGCAGGAGTCCAAGGCAACTGGTCAGCATGATAGGCAGTGCTCTCAGCCCCACTCTAGCTGCAGCGAACTCTGATCACGCCCAGACTCACTGCTTTCCTCTTGAGGCAAATCTGGTTCATCGTTAGTTTGTCAGGCAGGATGCACCCAACTGGCACGGGCTTTGTCTGGACCTGCTGGAGCAGGACGACTGCTTCACACTCAGGCTGGTCACCATCCAGGTCCCCAGGCCTGTCCAGGCTGACCTAGGAGACCTAGCTATGGCCTCCAGTGACTCTCCGGCCACTTGATCCAATTTTCAAGGATCTGGATCGGAAATCTCAGATCTAGCAGCCGAGCATGGGTCCAGGGCTGTAAAACCGAGGTCCAGATCAGGCAGCCAAGTGGGTCTGGGAGCCATAAAACCCAGGTCTGGACCGCGCAGCCGAGCATGGTTTCTGGGAGTCGTGAAACCCGGCTTTAACACTTCACGCATTTGTAAATGGGTTTGGGAACACCTGTTGCCTGGTTGTACCAATGAGTGGAGTGGCTTGAGTCAGAATTTTCAAAATAACAATGTATTCATGAGAGAGAACATAGAATGCAGAAATAGTGAGAGAGAAACCTCTTCTGAGAGGGGACAGATGAGTGTGGTATAAAGACCCAGAAAGAGAGGCCAATGTGGATAAGCCCAACTCATTTGCTTAATAAGGAGAGAGTCAGACAGGCGCTGCTTTGGCCCATCTCCAAATCCATTTCTGGCCCCTACCTGAATAATGTTCTTTATCCTTTCAGCAAAGATTTACAAATCCACAACAGTAAATAAATAAGCGGGAAACCACTGAAAGCTGCCTCACATAAAGCAGAAGCCCAGAGAGCCAGAGCCTATAAAATAGCAATCCGCCTGCGTGGGGGCTTGCACGTCAAGGCAGGCTGCGGTTTAGTGCAGCACAGCCATTTCAAAACCCTCTCTGGGCAATCGTGGAAGTGGCTAATGCAGCTTGGCGGCTACCCGCCAGGATAAACACCACCTACGTGTCTCAGCTGGGAGCCGACCCAGAGGAAATAACAGACTCTAGGTGCTATTTATCTTGGTTGTTTGCCTCCAGGGTAGAATCATAGAATATCAGGGTTGGAAGGGACCTCAGGAGGTTCTAGTCCAACCCGCTGCTCAAAGCAGAACCAATCCCCAACTAAATCATCCAGCAGATTTTTGCCCCATATCCCTAAATGGCCCCCTCAAGGATTGAACTCACAACCCTGGGTGTAGCAGGCCAAAGCTCAAACCACTGAGCTATCCCTCTCGCCAGTATGTTTGGTGTCTTTATTATTACATGGGATTAAACACAAATACTGAATTCTTGTGCTGCACCAGCCCATGGTTTGTTTGAACTGAGGACCCAGGTGGCTTGTTATGTAATTGAATTAAGTAAACTAACATCTGTCGACCCACATACACTGAAAAAGCCAGGAAACTGAAGTTCAGAATGAAAATCTGTCCTCAGCTCACAGCTCGTTTAGCAATTCAATGCAAAGTACCAGTCTGGAATGAGGGTTGTGTTAATCTGTGTTGATTTGAGTCTCAGCAGTCAATAAGGATAATATGTTGGGCCAATTGTCAAAAACGGGCTCCAACTTTGAACAAGCTAAAACCAGAATTTGCATAAACAGATGGGATTTGTGGGTGCCATCTGGATTATTGGATTTTGTTCATGCAATATGATGCCTGCTTGGTTTGCACCCACAAATCCCATTTGTGGGTGCAAATTGTGTGCAAAAGTTTGCATATAAACTTAGCGGCTGGGATGACATCCAGGTTAGATCTGGCTGTGAGGTTCTTCTGGCCTATGGTGGCCTAGAAAAGGGATGATACAGCTGTCACGCTATTGGCAAGCTTCTTCCTGGAAGTGTATTCTTAGATAGCATTTCTGCCCTAGACTGCCCATCAGCGCTAAGCTGTACTGGAACAATGGCACTGCCAGCCACAAGAAGGAGATGGGTGAGCATGAGAGCAAAGCTGCCTTGGCAGCTGGCCCACCACCGGACCGTCCTGGCCTTCCCAGGACACATGGGAATGACCACAGTTTTGCTGCCTTCCGGTCAAAGTGCAAAACGCACTCATTTAACTTGGCTTTCCCAGAACACTGATCAATGGAAAACTTGAGCAGCTGGGCAGGGGGAGTTACAAGGATTAAAAAAATTAGCTCTTTGTTGAAAAAACAAACGTTAAGTCTTCCAGGATTCTTAGATGCCCTGGTGCTGAGCACCTAAACTCCTAGGTGGACATGCCCCATTCTGTGCCCGACTTCAAAGTCAGTCCCTCTGTACCATACAGACACTGCCCTCTCCACAGTACAAAATGCTGTCTGAGAATGAGCTCAACAAAATGCCAGTTCTCCCACAATGGACAAAACTCTCTACAACGTTTGTCTGCGATCTCCCCTATGGTCTCAGATCCGGCTGTAGGATACACACAGAATGCTGAGCTGTGCCGCGCTTTGCAATAGATACAGCCAGAGATGGGCAGCTACAGAGGGCCGCATTGTCAGCTGGTATAAATCACTACGGTGCCACTGGGTTTAAAAGAGCTCAGCTGGTCTAGGAAGTAGAGAGTATTTTCTCTGCTCCGTTCTCCCTGCTTTATTTCCAGTGTCGTTCCTGGAGCCAGTCTCTTACCTGCATGGGGTAGGAGAATGACATTAAGAAGATCCTTCATCCCACACTCAGGGCCCATGACTCCATTGTAACTGGTGGTCCGGGCACAGAACATGAGCCTGTAGAGCCGTTCGGTCTCGGTGTTGTTGCTGATGACCGCGTAGACGTCAAAATCGCAGCCATTGTTCATGCCCTCGGACACCTTGATCTTGATGCTCACCCCCTTCTCCTCCTCAGTCAGGTAACTTTTCTGGAGTTCTGCTTTTGCAAACACTTCCCTTTCTTGGTCGGATCCTGCAGTGCATGAAAAGATTATTGTTACCAGGTAGGTCAACAAGATGCTGGCCCTGGAGCCCCAGCTGCCTTTGCCCTTCTCCCCACAACCATCCTGAATGTGACTGCTGCAGCTTGACCAATCAGATGCTTTATAAATTAGATGATTCTTGTCCAATCCTGGGGTCCCCCCCATTTTATCCCCCAGCACTTGGCTTTTCTTTCACTGGGCAGTGACCAGACCTTCCCAAGCTGCATCGTGCTTTGCCCTTCCTTTCTGCCTCTATTTCATCATGACCTACTGAGGTCCCTTCCAGTCCTATATTTCTTTGATTCTATGTGCTCAGTGGGAACTAGCATAATTCCTGCCCACAAATCGGCAGAAGAAATGAACACCAGCTGGCACCTGTCCCGCAGCACATCCTCCGACAAGCAGCACATACCCTCAGGATACTTGTAGTTGTGGGTAATGTCTTCTCTGGTATCTTTGCCCACGCTTTTTGTGCTCATGTTCTTTCCTACGGTAGAAGAGTGGATGGTCTTCTTTCTGGAGCCATCCTTTTGCAGCACCCAATAAACCACATCCGCATTCACCTCCGCAAAGACAAATGGGATGTCGTAATTCAGCCTCAGTTCACCTTCCTTGATGGCTTTGACTGGAGCTGGCCCACAGCAGTAAGCCCCTGGGGAGAAAGGAATCTGCATTAGTCTTCCATGTTTAGCGAGCACGGTCAGTGCACATGGGAATGCGAGCTGGGTGAACTGTGCCAGTCAGGATCTTGGATATGGTGGGTGTGTGCCATACACCATCTGGACTGCACTGAAGTATGTGGCCTCTGAAACCAGGCAGCCTGCCCTTTAAAAGCCAGGAGGGCTGGGAGCGGCCAGCTCTGTTCTGGAGAAGAGCCCGGCAGGCAAGTGCTGGGAATCATCCGACCCAGCTGCACAGCATCTAGTGAGTGGCTCTGATGGTTCCCAGCTGGGAGAATATAAACAAAGCCTAGCTCCACAAGGGGCTGAAAGGCCAGGAGGATGCTCTCCAAGTGCTGCACCAGAAGACAATGAGAGGGCAAGCAAGCCCTGTGAACCCCTGCCAAGCCTGGGGAAGGTCCTGACCATTACGCTGCTGGAGACCACGGGGCCCCACAACCTAGGTTGGGAGCAGGGCTAGTGTGCTATTTTTCTGTTTTAGAGAATAAAAACGGTCCTGAGGTGAGGGCTACGAACAGAACCAGGCTTGGCTGATTGCTTTCGTAGGCTGTGATCAGGCCCACTGCCTATAACATCTCCTTACCTTCGCTCTTCTCCTGAGGAGTTGGATCCAAAGCCTGCCATCCATCACAGCCAGGGGGCAAGTCGGGCCGGGTCATCCAGGACTCCACCCAGCAATGGAAATTCCTGTAAGGAAAGCAAAGAGAGGAGAGAGAGAGAGTTGAAAGGTCATGTCTTCTGGATCCCTGACACAAGAGATGTCCAGCAGACTGTCCCAGAGGGTCCCAGCTTTCCAGCGCTATCTGCTAGGGACACTCAGGGGCTGTCTTCTGCCCCTTGCTCAATGCTTGCTGAGGTGGACATTGCCAGGTACCATTACTGATCTTACAGGGGGCCTCAGTCCTGCATGAGATCTGTTTGTAACTGCAGGGAGAATGTGGCCTGCATTCCTGAATAGCCCAGCTCCTGGCATGCCGTATTGAGCAATATTCATGTAGCCTGGGATATTATGATGAGCATTTCACCCTGAAGCAGTGTCCTTTGTTGTGGATGCTACTCACCATATCATGTCTTTGGATGTCTTCTGCAGGTTTCCCATTTCGTCTAGGTAACGGTCAATGACCAAGTTGCTGTTGGTATCGTGGGCGGAGTTATAATTGGTCACCACACGGGTGGGAATTCCCAAACATCTCAGGACTGGGGAGGGAGTGAGAAGGGGAGAGGTGAAGCCCGGTGCATTTTGTGGCTGGCTATTGGAATCTCTTGAACTGCACTTTCCATCCCAGGCTCTCAGAGTGCTGTCCAGTCCCTGAGCCTCACAGCCCCTCTGCAATGCAGGGAAGCGTTGTCCTAGCAGGTGCCCAGCCTGCTGTGCTGAGCCCAGAGAGACCATGTCACAGACAGTGGTTGTGGCCACAATAACTCAATTTTATTTTTTTTGCCAAAATGTCATACATGCTCCGGGGGAGGCAGCAACGATGGTGCCAGGTGGCCAACAGCTTCTTAAGCACCATGTCATCTGGCCATACACAGAGCAGGTCTCGCCCGACGTGACGCTCAGAACACAGGTGCTCCCAGCACTGCGCTGGTGGGGCTGGGATGGGGAGGAATCGTCACTAACGTTCCCTGCCATACCAGTGAGTCAGTGACAGAGCCAAGGATAGAAAACGTGGGTCTCCTGATTTACAGGAGCTAAAACACCAGGGAAGAGTTTTCCCCTTAAACAACACCGGCTCTGCCTTCAGCTTTGACAGAGAATCACCCTCTTTGCCTGCGTGAAGAGGATTTGGGGCTTTGTGCTTGAAAGCAACAGGTCTGTTCCACGCTCTGAGGTGGCGTCAGAGCTCCAGCCGGTGGAAGGATGTTCAGTGACACTGACAGTCTGTCAGGCTCTGATACTTCACTAGAAACAGGGCACAAAAGAGACTGGGGAAATGCTGTCCCGGGATTCCATGACCAGGTAGAATTTAGCATCCAACAATTTTATTTAATCTCCTAGCTGCTGCTTACTATAAATGGGGCACCCTTCAGAATATACCAGTAGTTTTAAAGTTTTGAAGGCCACCGGTAGGGGTGGGCCAGCCTCAGAAATCCACATATGTTTTAGCTATTTTCTGCCTCCTGTTTATGTACCCAGGAGAACGAGGCCAAACCCTCATGCACTTTGTCCCCAAGAAAAATAAGTGCGAGCATGTGTATGTGCGTCTTGAAAAATTTAAGGCCTGATTCTGTTCTGATTTGCATCAGCTTGACTCCCCTCACACTGGTAAGGTTACCTTTGATTTGGAGACTTTGTCCCTGTGTGTGCACATGGGGGAATGCCAATGAATTTTCTGTCTGTCATTCACATAGTATTTCTCAATGGTCTGTGTGGATTAATTACATTCTTTTAAACTATTCTTTTTGTCAGTCATGTAATACATGACGCTGTGCCCTGTGGCAGGGGGTGTTCTGCGTGCTGGGGGGAACGAGAGAAAAGTAACTGAGAAACCAAGGCGTTTTTTATTGTGTTTGCAGTTTCCTGACTAATTAGACTAACAGAGAGTGTAATTGGTAGGAAATCAGCACGGAGCTGACTCTCCCCTGCTGACCTGTGATGGGCAAGTCTGATTTCCCTTGTCTAACGCTATGGACCTCAGCAGAGTTACTCCTGCCTCACACCAGTGTCAGCTGGGTCACTGTGAGCCCTGGAATGTGGGGAGCGCGTGGGAATCTGAATGATCCAGTCCTGTGAGGAAGGGGGAATCGTCTGCAGCTGTCAGCTGGTCTCCTCACCTGTACATGCCACTGCCGCAAAGACCCAGCACTGGCCATATCGGACTGGCTGGCATCCATACTTCCTCCACCTCCTGAGAATGTCCACGCTCCCTATCCAGGACATGGGGCTCATCCCATCCTCATACTTATTGTCCCAGCGCCCTGCGAGCACCCCCTGATCATCATTGCAATTCACCTGCAACACAATAGATGAGATTCCTGGTGAGCAGAGTGTTGACTGCCCGTGCAGGAACAGAGGCCTCTGGGCCCCGGAGGGGGAAGGACTGGACTGAAGAGGAAAGAAGAGCATCTGTATGAAGTTCTAGGAGCTCCAATTCAACAGCACTGTGTCTCTGTCATGTATCCACCTGGAGCAGGTGAACAGGGCACAGGTTCCAAGCTACGGGAGCCCCATTCCCAGAGTGGCTTCGTAAAAAGATAATTGATTGCCTATCAGCCAACGAGGCTGATGGAAAAAGCAGTCAGAAGGGAAGCTGTGGGTGTGAGTTTGGACTGGATGCAGAGATCAGTGGAGAAACGGATTCATAACTGGAGGAGTCGTGGATAGAACCACAGAACAGACCAATGAAGGGTGGATGGATGGGTTTAGGGATGGAGAGAGGTAGAAGAGTGAGTGGATGGATCGACAGATGGGTGGAGTTTTTATACGTGAGAGGAAGAGAGAGCCACGTGGTCACTCACCTTTATTCCCCTTGCCTGCTCTCTGCCTACTAGCCCATCTCCCAACGCCCAGGCAGCTGCAGACAATCACCCTCTTAAAAGGAAAATCAGCCTGCCTCTAACACTGGCTGTTTGCAGCCCTTGGCATTCACCGTTACCACTGCAATGGGGTCGCCCCCAGCCGTATTCACATTATGCAAGCTGTGTACCATTGGCAGGAGCGCCAGTTGGGGGCAGGGCCCCTGGCCGGGGGGGGAGAGCAAAAGTTTGCCCCAGGCCCATGTTTGACAGGGCCCCCAAACCTGAGCGTCTCTGTGACCCACAACTCCTGGAGTGGAGCAGAGCCACGGCTGTGGGGTGAGTGTGGTTCAATCGCGCAGACCATGTGAAAAATTGCGGGGGTGTCTAGTAGCCCCTATATACAGAACGAGGCGACCACGGCCGGGTCAGCTGGGGTGAGCGGTCAGTGTCGCCGCTGTCTGATGGTGCCCATAATACGCAGGGGCTGCCGCTGGCTGGCTAAACAGGGGCAGCTCAGGGAATACATGGCAACACATACGGGATCTGGGGGTGGGTGAGTGGAAGGGCCGCTGGACGGGTGGACCAGCCAGCAGATACAAAGCTGCCTGTTGGCCGACTCCGAAAGTGTCCCAGACTCACCATGGCGCTCACGACTCGGCCAATGTAAACGGGGTCATTGCGGCGGGAGCAGTCTCGGTTTTGGTCTCGAAGGAATTTGGGGTTTGTATCCAGCAGCTGAAGGCAGATGTTCACAATGTCATCTTCAAACTGGTGTGGTGGAGAGAGAGAGAGAGAGAGAGGAGAAAAGGGAGAGAGCGCAGTGAAGCCCGGGAGCTGGAGCTCGCACAGCAGGCTACTTGTCCCCCCGGGGTGGGCGAGCGTGCCCAGCAGTGGGACTAGGTTTGGGAGGGATAGAAAATAGCTATGTCCCAGGGCGGGAGACGTGGCAGGGGGACCCAGCCCCTCCCTCGCCTTAGGTCTGTCTCACTGTTCCAGTGTAACAAGGAGGACACATGGCGAGGGTGTGAGAGAGCCCGGGGGGGCCGGGGGAGGCATCCTCTACAGCTGACTGCCCCCAGACCCACCCCTTTAGGGGGCAGAGACTCTGCAGCTGTCTTGGTAGCTGGGGGTTACCCAGGAGTTTGCCCCTTAGTGTGCGGGCCACGGCCAGGACCCACAAGAGCTTGGACCAGCCCGGGGGGATCAGGCACTGACTGTCTCCCTGGTTCAAACGTCAGTGAGAATGCGCATTCCTGGCTGTTTCTCTGCTGTGTTCGCACCCAGCTCCGTACCAAGGCTCCGGAGAAACGCTTGGCATGTTTACTTAGGGAGGCCGCTCGGGGGACTTGGAAGGAGAAAGCGAGAGCCCGACGGGCTCAGTGAGACCGGTGCCCTGTCCTCAAGGCACCTGTGAGAGCAGTTCTGCGATGGGGCAGCACTGACATTTCAGAGCAATTTTATCTGACAGCCTGGGGCTTGTACAAAGGGGGGAGGGGGACAGGGAGTCTGGATGCTTTTGTCCATTTGTGCAGATAAGGAGCTGGTGTGTGCAAAGTTCAAGGCTAAGAATGGAAAATGAAATCGCTGAGCCTCCCACCCTCAGCACTGAGCAGACTGCTGGCGTGCAGCTGGGATGCCTCTTGGAAAGCCAGGTCATCAACCGGGCCCCACGCATCTGTGGGAACCCAGCTGCTTAGCCCCATCATCCTCACAGGAGTCACAAAATTTCCCTGAAGAGGCTCGGATCTCCCATGGGCCTGGCTGCCTCTTGCCTCTTTAGGAGCCTGAATCCACCACTTGGGCCCTCCTGACATCCGCAGCAGCTGCCCAAATTCCCTCGGCACCCACTGTTCTGCTCTCAGCACCTGACTGTACCGTTGGGTGCGCACACAGCACCCTTGGTGCTGCCCCACCCTGCCGCTCAGACTCCGAGCTCTGGCGGTCCCCACCCATCTCGCCAGCAGGGCCCCATCAGAGCACACCTGAGCCCCCCGGATGAGTGCGTGTCTCCCCCGCCCCAGTGCAGCCGAGTGTGACAGCCCTCACCTGGGAGGTGGGAGGACCAGGTTCAAGTCCCTGGTCTGCAGCGGGAACTTGAGTGTCAGTGTCCCACTTCCCAGGGGAACACCCTACCCGCCAGAACACTGGATGTGGGGGCGGGGTGTCTCTTTCTGTCTGTAGATGGGGCTTAGGGCACTTGGCTCAGGATCCCCAGTGGAGGGAGGTGTCTGTCTCTGGCCAACCAGCTGCTTAAGTGCCTAATCCCACCACGTTCCCTGCCTTTCACTCCTGGCTAGCTTAGGCAGCTCCCCACCCCGCTGGTTTCTGAAGAGTCCTTACTTAGGGTTTGGCTGCACGGTAAGGCAGTGCCTGGCAAGGCAGGCCTTGAACGTCTTGCACCCCAGCTTGCACCACTCACGTGCTGTGTGGACAAACCCTTCAGCCAGCATCTAGCTCTCCCCCTGCGTTGTGCAGGGAGCCTGGGGCTGAGGGTTGCCCTGGGCAGTCAGCGCTGTAATGCTGAGCCCTGCGCTGCAGAAGTGCCTTGGAGGAGCTGGGCTTGAGTGACAGCTGCTCTTCTGCACAGCCGACCAGGAGCCAGGGAACTCTGGTGACCCAGGGTGGTTTTTGTAACGGTGGAGGAGGAATTTGCTGCATTCAGGGGTGCAGGGGCGGTGAATGCTAAGAGGTTGGAAATTCAGCTCCACCCCAGACAGGACCCTCTCCTGGGAGGTGCTCAGAAATCTGCAGCTCTGTTGTCTGCCTTGGGAACTGCAGGTCACTCACCCCACTCAGAATCAGCCCCAAAGAGAGAGGAGCCCTCTCGAGCTCACGGGTGGGGGAACGTTGCTGGGAGCCACTTGCAGCCCCAGGCCCAATATGACCAAAGGCATTTGAAATGCAGACATGACATGCTCTTGACCAAAATACACCCGGGCGGAGCTCATGGCGCTGGCAGTTCCCTTATCAGCACTGTAACTTGGGAGGGGAGCTGGTTATCTTACAAAGGCCCCTCCATATGTTTCCCAGACAGAGGGTGTTTTTGTCATTATTATGGAATGTTCTGTCCTGGCCTCTCTCCCAGGCCTCGTTGGTTAAGGATTTATGGGCTGCTCCTGGGATCTGAACGCAGCATTTTCGCCTCCAGAAATGAGATTTTAATTTGCCTCCAGCGGCAGGTGGAGTGAGATTTCCACTGAGGTGTTATCAGAGGACACAGAAATTGACACCTGCTGCCAGGCACATGGGATGGGACGCACTGGGGGAGCAGCGAACCCTGTTCTGTGTGTTGGGGCTGGAGCTCTGAACCGCCAGGTTCACCTACTGCCACCCACGTGAGATAAAGGGACGTTAGACAGGCTGCAGCTTTGCATTGGGGTCCTCCTCCTGTGTAGGGGGACTCCCCACCGGCATGAAGCCGCTCCACCTCCACCACCTAGCCGCATCTCCTCCTGCTCTAGGACCCCTCTCCCTGTGCCAGCGGAGACACCAGCAGAGGGCACGTGTTAAGGAGAGGCTCCGATGGGCCTGATTATCTGCTGGCAGAAGGGCCCAGTGGTGTAAGTTAAAGCTTTCGTTTATGCAGGACCCAGTCAGCAGTGATTAGCCCCCGGCGCTCTCCCCTCTCCACTGTGCCTGAGCAGAGCCTGGGCCCGGTGAGGAAGCCAGCCTGGTGTGGTCATGGGGGTTCTATGTGCTTCCCCACTAGCGACTCTTCCCAGAATCTTCTCATCTCTCCCCCTCTGACCTCCTCCTCCTGCCCCTCCAGCATCTCGGATCGTCATCCTTCGGGGGATGGAGGGGTGCTGGGCACCGCTCCCCTTGGACTCTCAGTGCCGGCAGGAGCGGACGGCAGACGGCTGGGGTGGAGAATGCTGCCTCTGCACAGCACAGCCCCCAGCAGCGAGGGACCAGGGCTGACGCCAGAAATGCAACGTCCCGCTTGGCCACGTGTGGCAGAACTGCCTGGTCACTGGGTCGGGATTGCTGTCTCCATTCTTCCAGGCCGTTAAGTGAGCCTGAAGGGGGATTGGTGACTTGGAGCAGGGGGAGGGATGTATCTTGCCATTCATGATGCTATCTGCCAGTAGCGGGTGGGTTCTGCTGTGTTTTCAGAGGGATCCTGCAGGCCCCTTTGAGGTGATATCCTGCATAATAGACTCTGACTAGCTGCACTGTGATGCTGCACCTGGAAGAACTCCGTGTGCAGGTTCCTCGGCAGAGATTACAGCCTGGGCCCCAAGTCCCTGTAACTGTGTTGCCAATTCAGGGCAGGAGATCAGGGCTGGAGACTCACCTGTCCGAAATTCCAGGGAATAGGGACGATGAACTTCAGAGATCCCTGGTAGATGAGGCCCTGCTGCGTCAGCACGAACTCACACCGCTGGTCTTCAAACTCGAGAAAGACGGAGTCGTCTGTGGGGAGAAGGGAGGGAGAGGACAGGGTGAGACGCTCTCCCCTCTCGATCCTCTCACTCCAGCACCCACGAACTAGCCGAGACTTCTGGGAAAAGCACGCAGTGGTGGGCGGCCGCAAACTCGTGGAATAACTCAATTGTAGCCCACAGAGTTTGGGCCATTGCCGGAGCAGCACCAAGCCTAGGACTCACGGCCCAGGGATGCAGGAGAAAAGGCCCTGTGTGGTGATGCTCTGACCCCACTGGGTCAGATCCTCAGCTGGCATGCACTGGCATCGCCCCACAGCTGCCCCTGGAACGACGGTCCCACAGCTGCTGAGTATCTGGCCCATTGTGGAAAATGGCCATGATTTCCCGTGAGCAATGCTGAAGGAAATGAAACCGTGCGTGCTGCAGACAACATTTTTCATGGAATTAGCTGTAAAAGGTCAATGCAATTAGATTTGAATTAAAATGTAACATTGGGTGTGTGGGGGGGGGGGTTGGCTTTGCTTGTGTGCTCTTCTCCGCCCCCACCCCCATCTTTTTTCCCACTGGAAATGGGGAGGAAGAAAAAGGAAGAGAGGAGGAGGAAGGAAAACGCAAGAAAATGAAAACTGAAAAATATTCCTGTCAATGAGATTTTTGGTTTTTCTTGTTTCAGTGAAAAAAGTTGAACAATGTGGCCAAATGTTTTGTGTCGTTTGTTCATTGCAAAAACTTCCTGCCAGCCCTGGTGTTCCGTGGGGGCAGTGGCCAAGTGAAACTTTCTAAACTCCTTATCTCTGAAGAGTCAGCACAAAATGCTTTGGAATTCAGGAAGTTTGTAATTTTAGGCCTTTTATTTCACATGGGTGACATCAGGCTGCACTTGGATGGGGGAGTCGGTGGGGGCAGATTCCTCTTACTGATGGGGAGAGCAGTGGGAGACAAGAACAAGGGGTGGGCAAGCAACCTGGTTGATCACTTGCCCAACCATGGCCAGACATTGGTCCCTCCCTCCACATGCTGCTGTCTGATCTCAGCAGGGATAGTGGTGGCTTTATTTGCACCCTGGCTGGCTCGTTAACATAGTGGCATTCAGAGCTGTGTGTTCTGCCCCATAACCTGTGTCCTGATGGCCATGGTAGCTGGGAGCAGGGCAGCGAGTGGGCAAGGGGTGGGAATTGAGATGTCCCCTTGCATCTGGCAGAGTTCATCCCGCCTCTGGATTCAGCGGCAAGGCTGGCTCCTACCTCCAGTCCGCGCTCTTCCCCATGCACCGGATTGCACCCACTGTCAGGGATTTTCCAGGGAGGGAGCAGATCTGCTCAGCCTTTGGAGAGGGACGCAGGCGTCCAACCATGTGTACATTCCTATGGCCTGGGAAGGGGAACCAGCGGTCTCTAGGGCTGCTGGCTCTAGGGTGAAGTTAGAGGGATCCTGGCTTGGAGCACAGCTGGGCCTGCTGCTGAAGCTCAGAGTCAGACCTCCCCTAAGTACTGGGTGTTTGGAGCTGGTGTTGGTTCGGCCCACCCAAGAGAGGCTGGCGTGGGCCATTCAGCTCCAGATTTGTGCAGTCCCAGGCAGAGGCTGTTGTTCCGAGTCTGTCCCATCTCCATTTTGGAGAGATCCCTGCAACTTAAATGGATGAATGAAAATCTCACCTGGACACCAAGGGTTAAAGAGCAAGATGAACTCTCCGAGCCTGAAGCTGGTGCCTTGGTATCCCATAGAGGCCTCCAGAGTCAGGGTATAGCGGCCGATCCGGGCGTCAGGAGGGGAGTAGATCAACAAGGAGAGAGAGGTTCCGTCCTGATGGTCCACGACTGCGCTCCATTCTGATGCCTGGAGGGCATCGGAGACGGGGAAATGGGACTTGGTTCCCGACGACTCGATGGGGCACGGCCCTGCCAGAACAAACGGCCTCGTTAGCACACCCTGCCTCTGGCCTCTCGCTTGGATGGTCCTGGGGACAATGCCTCTGGGGCCAGGGGAAGGACAATGCTCTTGTGGCTTCACCCTGTGTGAGCACCGCTCGAGAAACACTAGCCCTAGGATGCACCAGGGGCTATTCCAGCCTCCCGTGGCATAGCACCCCTCACCCTTTGCAGACATGTCCCGCTGGCCCCCGTTCTCCCTGCATTGGCTGTAGGTAGCTCCCCTTATTGAACCAGCTGAGGCTCAGGCCCAGTGTTGGCACCGCGTCTGCCTTCACTGGCCCCACAGCAGGGCAGAGGCTGGGGGCGGTGGTGTCCTGAGCAGACCAGCATGCGGAGGGCAGGTGAGGCTAAGTGGCTGGCGTGCTGTGTGCGGGGGACTGCACCTCCTGCAGATGATTCTCTGCTCCCAGGACAGAGGAGTCACTTGATGGGTGATTCACGGGGGGACAGAATTCTCCTGATGCTTTCCTATGCGGCTGATGCACGTGAGGGACTTGTCAGCGTGGCAGGCAGACAATGGGGACCCCATTGCTCTGCTGGCTGGATTGGTATGTGATGAGCTGATCCCCTGCCTGCTATCATGGGGGGATGTCTCACGAGACCCTGGCGGACAGGGGCCTTTAGCCATGGGTAACATTCAGGCCCCAGGAGATGCACGGGACTGGAATTTCCAAGCTATGCGGTGCCCTGCGCACACATGGTTCCTGCAGCTGGGGACCCAGGGTCCTTTCCAGTCGCTCCCCATCAGCCTGTCCCTGGTCTGTACGCCCCTTTGGCTGTGATTCTGTCTGTGATTCAGTCTGCTTCTGCTCCTGAGTGGTGTATGGGGGGAATGGTTGGTTCATGCCCCCCACCTCACCCTTCTGTGGACACACCAATGGAGACCCTAAGGGACGCACCCTGGGGAGCTCAGTGTTCAGACTGGGGCACCCCAGGCTGTCTGTGTAGTTGGGGGCCTTGTAAGCTCAAACTAACAGCTCCCCAAATAACCATTTCTGGGTCTGCAGTAAGTGCCAGGTACAGCACCCAGATCCAGGACTGTGTGAAAGCATCTCTGCCAGCTACAGCCAAACATCCCATAGCAGCGCACCACAGCTGAGCATCACTAAGCCCCTGTTACACTGCGTTTCCACTCGCGGCCGAACCCATCCAAGCTCTCATTCCAAAGCCAGCCGCTCTGGAACCGCAGGCGGGTCCCTGGGCGTACAATACACCCCCGTGAGACAAGAGCCCGTGTCCCTTTCACAGAGCCTGGGCCCCACCTAGCACTCTTCACTTCCAGCGCCTAGCAGTGACATTAGTGCTGCCTTGGAACAGCACACCAGCAGTGCGCACAGCTGTCCTTTCACTCTGCTCAGAGTGTTACTCCTAGTGCAAGGAGCCGTCCTGGAACCAAACACTGCTCCTCCCAGAAACGGAGAGAACAGCTCGGACCTGGCCCTCCCCTGTGACTGCGCCCTGTGTCCAGGCAGCTGCAGTGACTGGCAGATTTCATTTCAAGTGATGTTCTGTGTGCAGGCTTCCCTCCCACACTGGGAACTCTGTGTTATGCTGGTCCTGGGCCCACACTCCACCGCTCCAGCGCCCTGCCCTTGCTGGGGAGTAGAACTTCATGACCAGAAATACACATGAACTAATGAGAGTGACACACTTTCTCCTCCTTTCTCCATCTGCGAGGCCCGGGGAGAGCTGACCTGGCTTGTTCAGACGCAGCTGGCTGAGCAGTTTCCCTTTTCAGCCCTGCTCCTTACTCATGTTCCCAAGGAATCCCCCTCCCCAGACAGGCGGAGGGAAACTGCTTCCTTCCCTTGCTCTCCCCTGCCCCCAAACCATTCCGGAAAAGAGCCAGGGGAAAGCTCTGCCTCCTCTCCACAGAGATGCTAATTCAGTGTTGCGAAGAGCAGAGGGGTGGGGACGTAGGTCTGTTATTGGATCTGTCCACACAAGGTACCCACCTGGAACTGCTTTAAAAATAGACACTGTCTGTTTGCACTGAAATAACTCCCCTTCCTTGCAGGACAGGGCTATTAGCAAGAACTCAGGGTGGGGATGACTTGGTGGCAAAGGCTCAGGTTTGGACTACATGGACTGCCTGGAAGAGGTTTGAAGCTGGCAAGGTAGAGACAGCTCTGTCCTGCTAGCCAGGTAGGTAAATTGAGGTCCGTGCAGTTTAGGCCCCCAAACGCTGAGCCCTTCCCTGCTCTGTGTAGGTTTTAAAGAACCCCTAGCACTTTTCTGCAAGAGTAGACATGTTCGTCCCTGTGGCCAAAATGTCAGTTGCCCGCCACCCTCCACCCCAGAGGTAACTGCATTCAGTTGTGCTCTATGGACACGCTTGGAACACCCTTTGGGATCACTTGGGGTGAAGGCAGCGAGCAGCAGGTCAGTGGTTGCTGCGTCTGTGTCCAGAATGGCCTGGGTCACTCTGACAGGGAACGTGTCTTTCCGCATACATTTACTGACGGCACGCAGCAGGTGTGTATCACCTGTGTGGCTGCAGGGAGCGGGTGGAGACCTGAGGGCCCCAGGAGGTGCGAGTGCTGGTCTTGGGGGTGAGTGTGCCTAGCATGAAGCTAGGGTCACTGATTCTGGGCTTTCAGCCTGTTATGTCAGTTTGTAGAATTTGAAGATATACAAAATAGAAATGTTGTAAACAGGCAAGAAACACCAGGGCAAAAAACCGTTTCTAGGGAAGGGCACGTTTCCAAGGGCAGGCTTGAGTAAATCCCTGGAGCTTCAGAGAACGGCGAGAACTGCTAAAAGGCATCGACCCAGATGGGCAATTCGGGGGGGAAGGGGGGAATTCCCTCCTGGCCCCAGCAGAATGTCAGTTTGTGCCCTGAAGCCTGATGGTTGATTATCTGGATCTTTGAGACAGGCCTGCACCAAAGCCCCAGCTCCAAACACCCCAGAACTGTACATCAGGATCCAAACTTTGCAGCTGGTGCCTTTCTCTCTCCAGGGCTGAGACAAACCTGCACTCTTTCCCCTGCTCCGTGAGGGCACCCTTAAAAGCTACAATGTTAGTCACAGCCCTGGTTCGATGGGACACAGAGGTGCGGCCCATCCACTCATAACCCATAGTCACCATCACAATTGCTTCTAGCCCCTGTGCCTGACTCAGTGGCCTCCCTTGGATCCTTGGACTGCACAAGCTGACTGGGGTAGGGTTTCTTATTTGTTCTACACTGATCGCTGTTTGATTTTGACGAGGCCCAGTGGGTGTAACTAGGGCACTGCTCTGAAAGTCACAGACCACAAACTCCCCTCCTCCTGCGCTGCTCAGAAACGTTCTGTCCAGGGCTGCTCTCCCCTAAACGAAACCCAGCAAACCCAGGGACACTAACCTTTCTCACCTGGAGTTTCAGGATGTGTCTCAAAAAACAAAAACCCTCTCCCAAGGATCTGTTCCCAAATGCAGCCGGAAGACAAACTCCCTGGGGAGTTCTTCGTTCTATCAAAGCCAAGGGCAGAAATCCCAATGACCTCAGAGGAGCCAGGATTCCACCATCTGTGCCTAACTCCAGGGCTAATTCTGGCTTGCTAGCGAGCCCTTCCTTGTGGAGGCTCTAGATTCAATGACTTCTCTGGAGAATTTAGGGTTTTCCCCCCTAGGGAGATGCCATTACTTACAGATGTGGCTCTCGCCCTAGTTTTGCATCTCAGCTCTGGGATCTAACTCATCAGACACCTAGAATGGGTCATGTGTCCTCTAGGCATCCACCCATGGGGATGCCTGGTTCTTGTATTCCAAGATGGGGAAACACAAAAAATCTGGTCATTTTTATTCATTACATTTTCATTCAAGATGATTGACATTTTTTGTTGAAACTTTTTTTTCTGACCAAAAGGTTTTTTTGTTGTTGTTGTTGACAGAATGGAAATGTTCATGAAAAGATTTCCATTTTCACTGAAAACATTCTGGCTTTTGTGCCAACCCCTTTTCCCTTCCCCTCCTCTCGCCCGTCTCTAGTTTTACTTTTTTTGTTGCAAATCTGAAAAATGTCTAGGAGAATTTTAAACAAAACCAAGTTTTGATGTTTTTGTTGCAACTTCTCATTGGGAAAAATAAATTCCCGGCCAACTCTATGATTCATGATTTTGAATGTCAGTCATGAGCTCTCCTGTCCTGGGCCCTGGCCCTGTTTAGGACCCTCCACCATGGAGGAGGACCTGCAGGAGACTGGTAAAACTGCTTGAGACAAGACCAGGCTGGAGAAAAGGCATTATTTATTCTCAGAAGTGTCACACTTCAGCAAGTTGCCGGGCAGATTTTCCCAATTCCTCCAACCAAAGTCCCTCTGCACTGTCCTGGTGGGACCTGCTGTGCAGGAGAGGGTAGCGAATGTGCCCAGAGAGTTCAGCCTCTCTTCGGAAGCTGCTAACAAGTCAAATCTCGTATGCTAGACAGCGCAACGGCGTTGTGATGTGGACACAAGTGACTGGATGGAGTCTCACCAAACCAGCCAGGCCAGCGCGTGGTAATGCCTCCTCCTCTGGGGCAGGTATGAAGCTGGAGCAGAAGGCCCCAGAGCTCATTCCCAATCCCATGGGCCAACTGGTGTCCCTCCAGTAAAAGTTTGTCAGTACAAAGGATTGGAAAGACATAAAGTGGCTGAAACTATTAATAGAATCTGTGCTGCATTGCAGGGAGCTGTCTCATCCTCCCTGCCCTTGGCAGCTCTTCTGGGCTGCAGGAGGATGGCTTTCTGCTTGGAGGTGGGAGGGACTGGGAGTCAGGGAAGGCACACACGTTGCATCCGCACGTCAGAAATACCCTGTGAGTCTAGTGAGTCTAGGTCCCAGGTCACCTGGCTTGGGCTCGTCCTGCCGGGCTAAAAATGGCAGTGTAGCACTTCGGGCACAGGCTGGAGCCTGGGCTCTGAAACTCGGCGAGGGGGTGGGTCTCAGAGCCTGGGATCCAGCCCGAGTCTGAACATCTACATGGCTATTTATAGCCCTGCAGCGCGAGCCTTGCGAGTCCAAGTCATTTGACCCGGGCTCTGAGACTTTTTGTGCTGTGTGGATGTACCCATTGTGACTAACTCCTGAGAAATTCCATGCACATACTTGAGGAGGATGGGACCTTTTCTTCCTTGATACTGTATTGCTAAGGAAGGTGGGTGTTGGCCCGCCTGCAAGCTTCCTGGTTTTGTTCCCCTCCCCAGCCCTCTTTGGTTGTCCTTGGCGGGAAACAGCTGCCTGATGTTCAGAGATAACAGGGGGAGCCAAGATCTAAGTATCTTTCTCCCCCTCACCCACCCAGGCCTGGAGCAGCCCAGGTCTTGAATAAATAACCCTAGTGTGACACTGAAGGCGGGACAGTGTTTGAGATAAACCTGGGTGGGAATATTCAGGCAGGAATTAAAGCCCCCAAATCCATGCAGGCTGCTATAACCACGGACAGCTAAAGGAGTCCTCCAGCCCCTGAAGTGCTGTGGGGTGGCGGGAAGTTCCGTTCCTGTGTGGCGGGAAGTTCCGTTCCATCCTAGCTTTGTTCTGCGAGCGTGTGAATATAATGTAACTGGAATATGCTTCATGCAAAAGGTCTCTTGTAAGGTATCTTTACAAAGCTTATAATCTATTGAGTGTGGTCATCCTATTTGTATTCTTGTATCTGAAACTAGAAATATGAAACATAACTCTGAGGGCCGATTGTAATTATGCAAAGTGTGGGCCATTAATGGTGGCTTGGAATCTTGATGGCTCCCATTAACCAGGACAATTGGTTGTAAATGGCTCTGTTTACTTGTAAGTCTTCCTGTACACCTGTGTGCTGGCAAGTGGGTAATGAAGTCTTACAGTGACATGTGATCATGTCACCTGAACTGGAATCCATCTTTAACCTGATGCTTTTCCATTGAAAAGGAGGGGTGGGAACCCAGAGAGGGACAAAGGATTCCCGCCTTGTGCAAAAGCTATATAAGGGGGTGGAACAGAACAGAGAGGGTTGCAGTCATGAGAAATCCCCTAACTACCACCTGAGCTGGAACAAGAGCTGTACCAGGGGAAAGGATTGGGCCCAGACTAGGAAGGTGTCCAGTCTGGGAAAAAAGCTTATTGAAACATCTCTGAGGGTGAGATTTTATCTGTATTCAGTTTTCTTACTGTATTAGGCTTAGACTTGCGTGTTTTATTTTATTTTGGTTGGTAGTTCACTTTGTTCTGTCTGTTATCACTTGGAACCCCTTAAATCCTACTTTTTGTATTTAATAAAATCGCTTTTTACTTAAAAAGAACAGGAGGACTTGTGGCACCTTAGAGACTAACCCATTTATTTGAGCATAAGCTTTCGTGAGCTACAGCTCACTTCAGCTCATGAAAGCTTATGCTCAAATAAATGGGTTAGTCTCTAAGGTGCCACAAGTCCTCCTTTTCTTTTTGCGAATACAGACTACTACTCTGAAACTGCTTTTTACTTATTAATTAACCCAGAGTAAGTATTAATACCGGGGGGGGGGGGGGAACAGCTGTGCATACCTCTCTATCAGTGTTATAGAGGGTGAACAATCTATGAGTTTACCCTGTATAAGCGTTATACAGAGTAAAACGGATTTATTTGGAGTTTGGACCCCATTGGAAACTGGGTATCTGGGTGTTGGAGACAGGAGCACTTCTTAAGCTGTTTTCAGTTAAACCTGCAGCTTTTGGGAGACGTGGTTCAGACCTAGGTCTGTGTTTGTAGCAGGCTAGTGTGTCTGGCACAACCAGGCAGGGCACTGAAGTCCCAAGGTGGCCGGGAAAATGGGCTCAGAGGTAGTCCCAGCACATCAGGTGGCCGTCCCAGGGGCGTTTCTGTGACCCGACCCGTCACAGCAGCACCCTAGCTGCGTTTTCCCCGGTAGCCCCTGCAGGGCTGGATTAGTGGCGTACACAGCTGGTGGAAGTACGATCCAATGTGGGTAGCGGGATGAGTAGTGGAGTTGGCCCATCCCAAGCACTGACGGTGGGGCTGGGTCTTTCTTACTGGGTTATACGGTCACCTGGGCAGGACCGAGATAAATAAACTTCTGTCAGGCTGTCCCTTTGCTAGGCTTCCATACGGTGTTCTGTCCCTGGACAGGCCTGGGACTCATGCTCTGCTCTGCTGGGAAAGGAGTTTGGTTTGGCTAACCTTGACCCACCCAACTCTACTGCATCAGCACACCTGGCCTCTCTTGGTGACGTCCCTCTCTTTGGAGGTCTAATTTTACTCAGCAATTGAAAGATGGAAATTCCCTAGACATTGGCCCAACCCCAAGAGAAAAAACGTGCCCAGACTTTGAGATGGTTCATAGCCAAAGCCTCAGAACCAAACCCACATCCTTCTGGGCTGGGTCCACCACTATTGTTCCTGCATGTCTGATTTCTCCCAAGATGGAGAATAGCTGTACCTTGACAGCTTCCGTGTGCAAACAAGCCTTTAGTCTATGGAGGGTGGAAGCACAGTGGGACCAGGAATTGGGAGTTTTGGGCTACATTCCTGATTCTACCACAGACTCTCTGTGTGACTTTGGACTCTCACTTAAGCTGCCTTCTGTGCCTCAGTTTCCTATCTGTAAAATGGGGATAATATTACTGCCTTTTGTCATGGTGGTGACATGATGCTCAGTTAATTAATATTTATTAGGTACTTAAGATTCTCAAGTGGAAGGTACTATGTGCATGTACAGAGGGTCCATGCCACTAAGGGATATGACTATTTTATACTTGCTATCATTATTTTATTCTGAATTCCTTGAGCTGGAACCTTAGAGTACCATAAAAATAGCTTGTGAATGAAACTCTTATTTGGCGTCTGAAACCTTCTGGCTAAAGTACCTCTTATTATTCCTAGTAGTAGTTTGTTTTTCTAGTTATGGTAATGCAAATCACAGGTGTGAAAGTGACTGCTTGGATTTTTGGAATGCCGCATTAGGAGCCTACAGATGTTATGGATTCCAACTCAGACGTTCCAAGGTAATAGCTGGGCAAAGCCCAACCCTGTCAGCTCGTCTGAAATAATCCTTCCCACAGACTGATTGACTTGTCTTCATGCCCAAACACTTAAGACGTGTGGAACGTGGCAACAATGAACATTGTTGGCTATGGGGAGTTAGTGTTACACTCAAGCAAATAATATTCACAAGTGCTGGGGCTTTCTTTCAACTATTATTATATTGTGGAGCCTCTGTTTTTATATCTTTCTGTCCGGGACTGTGAGGAAAAACCACCTATGACATCAGGATCAGTGCCAGGGAAATTTTACTTTAATGTTGGAAATAACATGACTGAGATAACAGGCTCCTGACAGGAAGAGGAAGCCGTCCTCTCAGATCCCACAATGTAAAACAAAGAAAGAAAAGTTTGGACCAAGGGCTTTTAGATTCACTTTGTGAGTTGTAAAAACAAGCAAAGATAAGCCATGGGGGAAGCAATTTGTTTTCTTGAACAAAAATGTGAGGGCCATTCATGCGGTAGTGCTTGCTTATCTGGATGGTGACAGACCCCGGAGGGACTGTCTCCGGGGAATGGGGCAGGGTTGGCCTCTTACTGCGGTGAGGGGTGGGGAGGTGGGGTGACGGGGGTGGAAATTGAGGACTGCTTGCCTATAAAATGATGGAGGGAGAGGGGGAATCTGTATACGAGTGACAAGTGTGGAAAGTGCTTTTTTGAATGGGCTGGGGCAGGGATGGCTCTCTCCGTGATGACTGGGGTAGAAAGTGCCCCTCCTGGATGTGATGGCGCTGAGGTGGCTTAGCTGGGCATGGCCTCTCTCTGAGGGGAGGGTGGGTGAATATGTCTGTCTCTGAGGTGAAGGGGTAGGACGGCTCATCTCTGAGGTGATGTGACAGGGGAGGATATTGTGTGTGTCTCTGAATGAGGGGATGGAGGTGGCTCCTCTCCAAGCTGACCACAGCTGAGTTTAGTGAATAGCTCTGGACTTACCTGTCTCTACGTTGAGAGCAAGTTTATCCACTCCTTCCTCATAACCCCTTCCAGTGAAGAGCAGCGTGATGGTGAAAGACTGTCCCCTCCTCACAACGAGCTGCTGGTTGCCCATGTCAGCTGTCATATGGTTCTGATTGTTGCTCTCACACTCCAGGTTGCATGATTCCAGCACCAGATCTGCAAAACCAACAGCATCTAAAGCTCTCTTTCAGGAAGGCAGCAAAGACAGAGGACAAACTGACCCAGACTCCACCCTCTCTTCCTTTGAATCCATTTAAAAAGAACAGGAGTACTTGTGGCACCTTAGAGACTAACAAACTTATTACAGCATAAGCTTTTGTGGGCTACAATCCACTTCATTGGATGCATAGAATGGAACATATAGTAAGAAGATATATATATATATATATATATATATACATACAGAGAAGGTGGAAGTTGCCATACAAACTGTGAGAGGCTAATTAGTTAAGATGAGCTATTATCAGCAGGAGAAAAAACTTTTGTGGTGATAATCAAGATGGCCCGTGTAGACAGTTGACAAGAAGGCATGAGGATACTTAACTTAGGGAAATAGATTCAATATGTGTAATGACATATGTAGTCAATATGTAGTGATTCAGAGGCTGGGCACCAAACTCTGATGCTCCAGTTGAGAAGAGATCAGTTTTACTCCTACAGAGCTCATGCATTTGGCTTCACTACCGTGTGTTTCTCGTGTGTGTGCACACAGCCAGGTTGTTGTTCTGCTGTATTTAGGGAATGCAGGTTGCATCTCCATGCATGAGCAGGGAACACTGAGTCCCAGGGGATTCACTAGATGGGAATCTTTACCTTGGTGTATGTCGGTGTAACACAGGGCTGGATCTAGCCCCCTTCTCCCCCCACCACACCCCACACTCATGAATAGTCATCTACTAATACTCAGTACAAGTTTGGTTGATAAAGGTAACACTGTTGATGTAACACACATAGATGTCTGTAAGGCATTTTACTTGGTACCACATGATATTTTGATGAAAATACTAGAATGATATAAAATTAACATGGCAAACAATGAAAAGGATTAAAAACTGGCTAACTGATAGGTCTCAAAAAGTAGCTTGTAAATGGGGAAACTTCATCAAGGAAGTTGGGATCAGTTCTTGGCCATACACTATTTAATCTTTTTATCAATGACCTGGAAAAAAACATAAAATCATCCTTGGTAAAGTCTGCAGATGACACAAAAAATTGAGGAGTGGTAAATAATGAAGAGGACAGATCACAGATTCAGAGTGATCTAAATTGCTTGGTAAACTGGGTGAAAGCAAACTATATATGTTTTAATATGGCTAAATGTAAATAGACACATCTGGAAACAAAGAATGCAGGCCATACTTACAGGATGGGAGAACTCTATCCTGGGAAGCAGTTACTCTGAAAAAGATTTGGGGGTCGTGGTGGATAATCAGATGAACATGTGCTCCCAGTGGGAAGCTGTGGCCAAAAGAGCCAATGCAATCCTGGGATGCATGAACAGGGAAATCTCCAGTAGGAGCAGAGAGGTGATTTTCCCTCTGTATTTGGCACGTGTGCGACAGCTGCTAGAATCCTGGGTCCAGATCTGGTGCCCATAATTCAAGAAGGAGGCTGATAAATTGGAGAGGATTCAGAGGAGAGCCACAAGAATGAATAGAAAACAATCCGTATAACGATAGACTCAAGGAGCTCAACCTATTTAGAAAGTTAAGGGGTGGCTTGATTACTTTCTGTAAGTACCTACATGGTGTCCCAGCCCCCTGATAATTTCCATTGCCCTCTGCTGGACTCTCCCCAATTTGACCACATCCCTTTTGTAGTGCGGGGACCAAAACTGGACACAATACTCCAGTGTGGGCTCACGAACGCCGAATAGAGGGGAATAATCACTTCCCTCGATCTGCTGGCAATGCTCCTATTAATACAGCCCAATATGCTGTTGGCCTTCTTGGCAACAAGGGCACACTGCTGACTCATATCCAGCTTCTTGTCCGCTGTAATCCCCAGGTCCTTTTCTGCAGAACTGCTGCTTAGCCAGTCAGTCCCCAGCCTGTAGCAGTGAATGGGATTCTTCCTTCCTAAGTGCAGGACTCTGCACGTGTTCTTGTTGAATCTCATCAGATTTCTTATGGCCCAATCCTCCAATTTGTCTAAGTCACTCTGGACCCTATCCCTACCCTCCAGCATATCTACCTCTCCTCCCAGTTTAGTGTCAAACTTGCTGAGGGTGCAATTAATCCCATCATCCAGATAATTAATAAAGATGTTGAACAAAACCAGCCCCAGGACTGACCCCTGGGGCACTCCGCTTGATACTGGCTGCCAACTAGACATCGAGCCATTGATCACTACCCGTTGAGCCTGACAATCTAGTCAGCTTTCTATCCACCTTATAGTCCATTCATCCAGCCCATACTTCTTTAACTTACTGGCAAGAATACTGTGGGAGACTGCAGTAAAAACTTTGCTAAAGTCAAGATATATCACATCCACCGCTTTTCTCATAGCCACAGAGCCCTTTATCCCATCATAGAAGGCAATCAGTTTGGTCAGGCATGACTTGCCCCTTGTGAATCCATGTTGACTGTTCCCGATCACCTTCCTGTCCTCCAAGTGCTTCAAAATGGATTCCTTGAGGACCTGCTCCATGATTTTGCCGGGGACTGAAGTGAGGCTGACTGGTCTGTAGTTCCCTGGGTTCTCTTTCTTCCCTTTTTAAAATCTGGACACTATATTTGCCTTTTTCCAATTGTCCGGGACCTCCCCCGATCACCACGAATTTTCAAAGATAGTGGCCAATGACTCTGCAATCACATCTGCCAACTCCCTCAGCACTCTTGGATGCATTAGATCCAGCCCCATGGACTTGTGCATGTCCAGCTTTTCTAAATAGTCCTTGTCAAGGTTCCTTCCCCACTCTGAACTCTAGGGTACAGATGTGGGGACCTGCGTGAAAGACCCCCTAAGCTTATTTTTACCAGCTTAGGTTAAAAACTTCCTCAAGGTACAAACTTTGACTTGTCCTTGAACCCTATGCTGCCACCACCAAGCGTCTTAAACAAAGAACAGGGAAAGAGCCCACTTGGAGATGTCTTCCCCCAAAATATCCCCCCAAGCCCTACACCCCCTTTCCTGGGGAAGGCTTGATAAAAATCCTCACCAATTTGCATAGGTGAACCCAGACCCAAACCCTTGGATCTTAAGAACAATGAAAAAAACAATCAGGTTCTTAAAAGAAGAATTTTAATTAAAGAAAAAGTAAAAGAATCACCTCTGTAAAATCAGGATGGTAAATACCTTACAGGGTAATCGGATTCAAAACATAGAGAATCCCTCTAGGCAAAACCTTAAGTTACAAAAAGACACAAAAACAGGCATATACATTCCATTCAGCACAGCTATTTTACCAGCCATTAAACAAAAGAAAATCTAATGCATTTCTTGCTAGATTGCTTACTAACTTTTTACAGGAGTTCTGGAGAGCATTCCTGACCTGGTCCCGGCAAAAGCATCACACACACAGACAGACCCTTTGTTCCCCCTCCAGCTTTAAAAGTATCTTGTCTCCTCATTGGTCATTTTGGTCAGGTGCCAGCGAGGTTGTCTTAGCTTCTTAACCCTTTACAGGTGAAGGGGTTTTGCCTCTGGCCAGGAGGGATTTTATAGTTCTGTATACAGAAAGGTGGTTACCCTTCCCTTTATATTTATGACAGTCCTTAACCTGTTCCTTCACCACTGTTCTTTCACCATGGCCAAAGCTCCCAGGAGCAAACTGAAACTAATTAATATTTTAAGCAACTTGCTTGTGTGGGAGAGAGAAGTAGCATCCTGGCTGTCTCTGGGCTAAAATCTCTCTTGGATCATCACTGGGGCCGGGGGATGCGTTTGCTAATCTCCTCCCCACTCTCCCTTCTCCCAAGACACAGACAAGTGTGACACAGTTTACAGTCGCTGTAGCTCTGAATGCTGAAGGCAGCCCCGGTTTGGTAGCACCCATAGAACTCACACAGCACTCTTCGTGCTTCGATCTCAAAGAGCATTACAGAGCTGACGCATGTTACGTTCCCCATTCCACCAGGGAGGAAACTGAGGCGCACAGAGAGACGTTCCATTCCCCTGTGCCTAATGTCACGCAGCCAGTCAGCGGTAGAGGTTTCCAGTGCTCAGTTCTGTGCCAGACCCCTTGCACTAGGCTTCTGCTCTTAATGATACAGAGGCGGCGAGGCCTGAGGCCAGGCCTAAGGTGTGTCGCAGAGCTGTGCTGGGTCCATCAGGATTTAAGGGCAGGAGAGGCTTGCAGAGGGCCAGCAGCAGAGAAGGTCAGTGCTTATCCTTCCTACCTCTGGAGGAGTTTGGCTTCAGGCTTCTGCTGCCAGGTTGTTTTGGTTGTTCCCTCCCAAGAGAGAGAAGCATTTCTGAGCTCGGGGAATGCTTGGCTTTGGATGTTCCCTGTGCCCTCCGTCAGGCTGACAGGAAGTTTCCTATCTCCTATGCCTTGACAAATCGGAGAGACTGACCATAAACGTGCTGAGAAAAGGGATGTCTGATGAGGTGGCCTGAGGCATTCTGTGGGGCATGCTTTTGTGGCAGTAGGGCAGAGAGACACTGATATAAGCAGGGCCTGTGTAGGCAGCCGGTGATAATCAGACAGCACCATTTTACCCGTTGTTTCAGCATGGTTTCCTGGGGCAATGTGATATCATTCATCATTGTTCAAGGCTAGCGACCCGTGAATGCATTGCAGTCAGGCAGATTAGTTGCCAGAATAAGTGAAAGTATTTAATGTAGGAGAACACATAGCGAGTTCAGTGCCAGAGTACCTGAGCCGGAAAACCAGGGCCTGATTTATGGAGCAAGTGCTGACAGGGCTGGGGCTGCTCAGCTCACTGCTGCTTTGGTCCCATCCTCTCTCAGCCATCGGTCACCTAGAGCCGTGGTTCTCAACCGGGGGTATACCCCAGGGGGGACGCACGCAGAGCTCTTCCAGAGGGTACATCCCCTCATCTAGAGATTTGCCTAGTTTTACAACAGGCTACAGAAACAGCACTAGCGAAGTCAGAACAAACTAAAATTTCATACAGACACTGACTTGTTTATACAGCTTGTGATACAGGAGGGTCAGGGAGCAGTGGGAGAGGTTTCAGAGTAACAGCCGT